ATTATTTAAGTATTATAAAATAAAAAAATTAATAAAATGTTTTGTGTAAAATTGTTAAAATTAGTTTTAAATAATTAGAAGTTTTTATAATTTAATTTTATTAATAATAACAATTTAAATGTGAATTTTTATTATATTTTCGAATGATACATATAAATCTTCTATGAGAAATTTAAAGGATTTTATTGTTAAATGTTTATTCAGAATTTTGAGTAAATAAAATGAAAAAGAACAATGCCAAGACCAAGACTTGTAACCACAAAAAGTTCTCAATATCTAAAACAAAAATTTTGGATGTTCAGAATCGGATCCAAAATTTTCAATATAATTATATGATTAGACAACTTCTCGAATTCGGAAAAGGAACTAGGAAGAGAGAGGAGCAGAAAAAGCGGAACTCATTCTCGATAGATATTTAAAATTAAAAATAATATTATTCTCTTCTATTTCTAAATATTTTCTTTTATTTTTCAATCTTTTAAATTCATTTTTAAATTAAATTAAGTTATAACATTAAAATTTCGATATAATTAATTCAATTTTTTACTTTAATTTTCTACCATTTAATTATTCAAACTTCAAAAACTTAGGATTTGTCAGACGCTATTTTTTATTTAAGTAAAATCTTTTTTTCTTTTTTATTTTAAAGCTCTATGTATACATTCACAATCCATTCATCCAAAGAAAATAAATAAACGAAAAAATATTTTTTATAAGAACAAAACCTGAAAAGTGCAAAATAAACGTTTTTATGTGCTGTTATATAATTATTAAATTAACACAGACATAAAAATCCTTTAATTTTAAAAAAATAAAATAATGACTCTTTTATTAAATTAATTAATCAAGTATCAATTTATCATTTTTAATGATTTTATATAAATAATATTTACTGAGAGTATCTTGATTTTCTTTCCTTCCTGAATTCTTTAACTATAAATTTTTAACTATACATAAATCACAATTTTTTAAAACTTCTTTTATTTTTTTATAAAATATTTTCTTTATTATTTCAAACATTTTATACTTCCAGTTTTTTAAAAGTTTTCTTTAAAAAATATAAATTTTATTTTCTTTTTAATGTGTTCGTACATATATTAACGTGACTTTGTTCTTTTTTCTTTCTCTCTTTTTCTTCAACTTTCTAGCCATCTGTCAATTTAGTTTTGGTAGAATAAAAGAAAAAGAAAAATGTGGGAAGACTTTTATTAGCCTTCCGCATCAGCTGACTGATGTCTCTTTAGCGTCGCTTAAAGTTAGCGCTTTTAATGAAGGCGGTCCTTGCTTTTTGGTCTTACGGATTTGGCTTAAAAATATAATCTTTCCATATCTTTCCATATTTGCTTCTGAAAATATATATTTAGTATGTATTTAATAAGACTTTCTTTTCCATTTTTGTTTTATTTCTGTTTAAGGAAATAAAAAAATATTGAGAATTCCATAAAAATTCCAATGTAATTTTTGGTTTTATTTTATACTATGTATTAAAATCAGTTAAAAGACTACATACAAAATCTCATGAGATTTAAAATATTTATTATTATATCTAAAAATTTATTGTTTTTATTTTAAATTTTTGGTGAATATTTACATACATACATATTATTTCAAATATTTATAGATTGAAAAAACACTAAAATATTCACCGAATTTAATTTTGTTTGGAATAATTTTATTTAGCTGTCCTCTAGTAAAAAATTTACAAAAAAAACCTGAAAATTTAAAACAAAAAATTTCTAGTTTCTCTAACCAAAACAATATTTTATTTTTTTTGTTTAAATCTTTTATTCTTTATTTTATACAATTTTATTTTCATATAAATTTTGCATGCATATTTCCACTCAAAAATAAAATTTATTTAAGATAACAAAATTTCCTTTTTTTCAATTTTCCCGTCCAATAAACACTTAAATGTCAAAATAAATAAATTTTTATCTACTGACCTATACATTATTATTTACTGACCAATTAAAACTTTCAAACTGATTAAAAATTATTTTTATTGTCATAAAAATAATTTTTGTTGTCATATTTTTCTTTTAAAAAATATTTTCTATTAAAAATAAAATCTCAACTAAATATTATTAGAACTTTATGTAAATAGAAAAACAGCTGATTGAAAACCCCAAAAATTATTGGTTTCAAGACCAAGGGTTTCGGATGCCCCTACCAATCCGCATCTTTCAAACATTCTCTCAAAATTTTTGAATATAATTTTTATTATTCTCTAACCATTCAGAATTACATGTATATAAATCTAAAATGAATAAATTAATTAATGATTACCAAGAAAATAATGAATCAACAAAATGTTGTTGTGGACAACATGAAAAAAATAAAAATGAAGAAACAACTTTACTTTACCAAATGGAATGTAAATATTTTTCACAGAATGAATCAAAAGAATTTTGTTTTTGTTCTGAAGAAGATAATGATCCATATATTATAGATATTGTAAAATTTTAAAATAAACAATGAAAAAATTTAAAATTTTTGACAATTGATGAAAAATAATTAATAATTATAAAAAAATTAATGAAAACAGTAGAGATATTTTTTTCGCACTACTATTAATTATTTAAGGTCGAACCTCATTTTTTGATACCCCCTTGAAATGTTCATGATATAGCGACATTAAATTGTCAGCTCCCCCTACCCAATGACCAACCAACTTAATTTAGAGCACCTAAAATAACCTTTTATTTATTACAAATAACCTTTTATTATTACACTAGTTTGGTACCAGTCCATGTATAGCAGCACGTGAACGTGTTTTGGAATTATTAGTTTTAGATAATTTGGGTATTTCTTCTGTTGGATGTACTCAACGTTTAATTTCCTTGGCACATCGAGTAACAGAATTGGATTTAAGTTTTAATAGATTAGATTGGTTAACTGTTGGGAAATTGATGGAGACATTACCTTTACTTTCAACATTAAATTTGGGTTATAATACAAAACTTTGTGGACAAATTGATGGAAATGAATTACCTAAAGCTTACAAATTATGTATTAAATATATAATTGATATCTAAAAATATTTTCCTTTAAAGCTACATTAATTCTCAATGGACTTTCATTACCATTTTCAACACTTCAAACAATTTTTAATAGTGCCCCTTCTCTGCGAGTTTTACATCTTTCAAAAACACAATTTCCTTATTCGGAATTAAATTGTTCTGACTTGGAAAAAACAACAAAAAATTATATTTCAAAAAATTTAGAAGAATTACATTTAAATGATTGTGAAATAGATAATTGGCATAGAGTATTAAATGTTTTGTTTTATTTCCCTCAATTGGAAAGGTTTTGTATTTGTTAAAAAATTAACATTTAAATTATAATCTCTCAATTAATTGTTAAAATGATAATATTCTCAAATCCTTAAACTAACTAAACTAGGAGGGACGGTCTTAGTTTTTTATGAGGATATAAAAAGGACTATTTTTAAGTAAATTTCCAAATAAATTTTGATAAATAATATATGTATTTAATTAAAAATTGTAAATGTTTGAAAAGAAAAGGTAAAGTTAGAGAGCACAGAGTAAGTTATTCTACTCTGTTAATACATGATTTTTAGGTATAAGTCATTTGAAAACATTTAGGTCTTGAGCTTTAAGAGAAGAATTCCCGAAAATTCTTTTTAGTCTAAAATAATCTTCTTTAAAAAATATTTTTCTCATTCCTCTTTTGTTATTTCATATTTCCTTGTAATATATTTTGTTTTGAGAGCTGCATAAAAGAAATTTGAAAATAAGTATTATATGAATAAAAACCGATTCAAGCCCTTAAAATCTCACTATATTTAATAACAATTTTCTATAAACTTGTTTAATATTAAACGTTTTTCGTTCATTCACAAATTACTTATCAATTTTCAGTCTTTTCTTAGCTGATAATCCATTAATTTCTGTTCATCATTGTCAAAAGTGCAGCCTTCAAACAAATGAATTAACTAAAAAATTACGAGTACTTTCATTAAGTAATACAAAAATTTCAAGTTGGCAATCTATCGAAAATTTACTTTCTCTTAAACAATTAGAAGAACTTAAATTAATTAATATACCTTTACTTAAAGGTTTAAAATATTCTTCTACTAATAAAAATAATTTATCCTTTTTTCAAAGATTATTCAATTGAAGAACGTTTACATTTAGTTATTGGCAGACTTAGAAATTTAAAAATACTTAATGGTTCTCATATTGGTAAAAAATAAATAAAATATAATAATTATTTAAAAATTTAATTTAAAAGATAATCGTCAACACGAAGAATCTGAACGTTTTTTTATTCGTTTTTATTCAAATTCTGACAAAAAACCTTCAATATATTCGGAATTAGTTGAAAAACATGGAATGTTAGAACAGCTAGTCAAAGTAGATTTAACCCCTAAACGTTATGCAAAAGTTGTAATTCATTGTGAGGAATGTGAATGGGTTAGAATGTTGGTTAAACTTAGATTATCTGGGACGGTTTTGGAATTGATGAAATTTTTGGAAAGGTTAACTAAAATACCTTTAAGGTATATGATATTTATTTAAAGAGGGTCATAATTTGTTAATAATAAAATAAATAATTTAACCAAAGGCTTAACAATTCTTAGCATAAATAATGAAAGAAAACTAGAATTTTATTAAAGTAAAAAATATTCTTATGGGTTCTAAAAATGATTATGCCATATTAATTTTTTGTTAAATAATATAAATTACCCAACATAAAAATTATCCATACCGTATATCCTTTAATAACTACCCTGGGTAATTATTGTTTCGACCTTCCGCTGGAGGGAGTAATTAATCGAGGGAGGGTAATTATACGAGGTTTGAAATTTGAACGTGTTTTAGGGCATTTGGTGGGGGTAATTATTGCTTCAATCCATCGGTGGATGGGGCAATTAATGGAATTGGGATAATTAGTTGGGGGAGGGCAATTAATACAGGTTATACGGTATACTACTTATTAAAAATCTTCATTTTCTACATATAATTCTTAATAGATTAATGAGAATTTTCTATGTTGACAAACAAATATCTGCATTGGGACCCGAAGAATTACGATTTCCCAATCAAGTAAAATTCTCCTTTAAAATTTTCAAAAAGAAATAATTTTAATTTTAAGGAACTCAAATTATTACATATTGAGGATGATGATGAATTTTTCATTCAATCAAAACTTCCACAAATTAATTTAAATAATCCCCCCAATACAATTAAACAAATTTCTTTTAACAAAAAATTATCTTCAAATCAAGAACAACTCAATAAATAAACAAATTATTTTGTGATCTCTTCAAATATTTTTATTTTTTTTAATATTTACAAAATACCCAATATACAACAATACAAATTCAATATAAACAGAATATATATTTATATATTTAATCTTTAGATAATCACGCAATATCCGGCAAAACCCCATATAGTGATTCAGTCTTTGCATTATTTTGTGATTCGACTGATTCTTGAGTATTCTCTATATCCTCCTTTTGCCCAGTTCGCTTAGCTTTTGGTTTGCTTTTCTGAAAATTGAATAGAAAATTATGTATATTTTTCTCCTCCTAACTACCTCTCCAGGTCTTTTAATGTAAACAGGTTCCCAATCCATTGGCTCATCGATGTTAACTTCCCGGGCGTCCATCATTTGAATAAATGCCGATTCAATGCCACAATAGTCAGGTCGTTTGTTGTAGCATAAAGTACGGAGATAGTCCATAATTGATCTGAATGCGACTGGACAACTCTGAAAATTTTGTAAAATATTTTGTGGATTAATTAATCATTAACTGACATGCATATATTCATTTTCAATTAAATGTTCTTTCAACTCAGCAGCTTTGTCACGTGTATCTTGACCAAACCAAGGCAGAGAACCATTGTTCAAATCAACCAGCATATAAATAAGAGACCTTTAAAAAAACAATTATTTGGCCAATTAATTCGTCAAACATACCAAAGATCGTCATGTCGGCCAAGTTCAATGCGTTTATGCGCTGAAAAATTAAAAATATTTTTGAGAATTAATTTCATTAGAAACACACCATTCAAACTACAATAGCCAGGCGTTCCACGGAAAGGCACATTTATTCTTGGTTTCCTTAGGAATTTCGTTCCTCTCTTCCTCAATGATCGAGACAATCCAAAGTCAATCAGATACACCCTGCTTAGATTTTCCCGATCAACAGCAAAGTTGGCAGGCTTAACGTCTCGATGAACATAATAAATACTGTGAAGAAAAGCAATCCCCTACAAATAAATTTGTTTGGAAAGTTTCACAATTTATTGACTCACTCTTAAAGCCTGTACTCCAATCCGTAGAACTGTCCCAGTCGTGAACTTGTATTTGGGCCTTTGGTCTTGCAAATCGCCAATAGACTTGCCTAGAAGAGCCATAACTAACACGCGAAAAGGCCTTTCTTTCGCTTAAATTTTTTAAAAGTTTAGGTTAATAATCAAGTGACGAACACTCACCACGACATTTTCCATAAGCAATGAATTTTGCAGCATAGGCAGAGAACTGTAGTCGTTTGAGAATATGTGCTTCTAGTGGTAAGAGCTGATCTTGCCTCCTTTGCTCCATGCTTTCAAGTTTCATTGCATATTGGTCTCCATTCGTAGCCAGGACTTTGTACACAACCCCACAGCCGCCTGAAAAGAATTAAGTTTTCTGGCAATTTATAAAACAAAACTAACCAGCGCCTAAAGTCGCGGCCACCACAAATTGCCCAATACTGGCCCCCACTGGGAATTTAAGAGCATCTTCATTGTATGAAAGTTTTGCTGCATCTTTGCCCTTTGCTGCTGATTCTGTTGGCTTTATTACTTGCTGCACAATTTGTGCTTGAAGAGGCTTATCTTCTTTTGGCGAATGTCCTTTGCCATCTACAGGCTTCTTTTCTTCCTTCTTTACATCTTTCTGTTCTGGGACAGGTAACTTCTTTGGTATTATTTCTAATTTTGGTATGAAGACATGAACCTTCTTTTCTTCAACTTTTGCAGCTTTGCCCTTTATTGGTTTGTCCTTCCCTTTATCCTTTTTCTTCTTATTGAGACAATGAATCAACGACGCAGCTGGCAGAAGCATTAAAAGTATGAGTAATGCAGGAACTAGAAGAGCCAAGTTGGTATAGTTGGAGCTTTGATGCATTTTTGGACTAATGGCAATGAATTGGAGGATTGGGTAAAAATTGGTGTGATAGAGTGATTTTTATAGTAGATCTATCACATAGTAGATCACTCTACTATATAGTAGATCACTCTATTCAATTTTAAAGGTTTATAACTCATGAATTATTTAGCTGGAAACAATGATGCATATTTTTTAGCCTAATGGGTTGAATTTGTTTTTTAAAAGCATTAAAGATCTACTCAGATTAACTGTAAATATTTTATACATAAAAATAGATGACTGTATATTTTATAATTATAATTAAAATCAAATAATCCCTCCTTCCAATTCAAGCAAAATTTTGTTGATTTAACTTCATTGTGGGCACATTAATAAATTTAACATTTTCTGATTTAGTAATTAACCAAGGTGTGCTTTTATCACCGAAATTGGTAATATCAATTTTATTAAAAGTAATTGAATTGGCCAAATTTATTTGAGCTGGAGCGGCATTAGTTACTTTAATGTTGTCAAATTTCTAAAAAAAGAATGAATAGTAATTAAATATACAATATTTAAGAGAAACTTACAAAATTTTTATTATAAATTGTTTGATAATTACCGCCACCCTCATGCCCACATAAATAAATAACAGATCCACTCTTTGTTGGTTTTACATTATCAATACTACAACGAGTAATAGTTATATTACTAAATTGTGTTGGGGTTTTTGCTTTTCCATTTGAAGTTGTGTGATAATTCAACATAAAAACGAATGGGTGTCCGCCAGTTGTATCTCCGCTGAATTGGCGACCGCCAAAAGTAAAATTATTGCGAGAACCAACACTCTGCATTGCTATATCACGAACATAAACATTTTGGACCCCACCGCCACATTCTGGCATACTTTTAAGTCTAACTCCATTATCAGTTAAGAAGGCGATACTGTCCTAAAATTGGAGTGTTTATTGGAATATGTGTATGTATTTCTGACCTCAATAAGTATATCCTTTACCCAATCTCCAGTGCTACTGCCAAATGACGGGGCTCCATGTCCATGTCGGAAATAGTTGTTTTTAATTAGTATACATTGGACGGGAGCCCCTTGTCCAGCATTACTTCCACAACCAGTACCCATTGCAATACAATCATCGCCTGTATCGAAGAAACTTCCAATTATTTGGATATTTGAACTTGAACCAATGTCGATACCATCACCATTATTTATATTATATGTTTGGAATCTAACATTGATTATTGACTTAAAAAATAAATAAAATTCTTCAATAATTTTATAAAAATTAGTTTAATAAACTTACAACATTTTTGCAATCTCCCAGCCCTATTGTAGTCATTGAAGGGTTTATAAATGTAATTCCTCCTCCAATATGTAAATTTGATACTGAATTTATAGCAAACAATCGTGATCTCGAACCATAATTATTTCCATTTGCAATTATTTGATTAGCAGCCAAATTCCCCAAATTTTTAAAAGTATTAAAAGATCCTTTTGGATATACAGGAATTTGTTTGCCAAGTTCATCTGTTGCGTTAGATGTTAATTTCCATCCATTTCCATCAATTGATCCAGGACCAATCACCTTGATGTTTGTTATTGCCTATAGTTATGGGGAGATTAATAAAATAACTAAATGATAGATTAAGATCTAACATACATAAGCATTCAAAAAGGCACTAGGAGTATTTCCATATTTGTTTGGAAATTTAGAAGGATCAGAAGTTGCACGTAAAATAGCCCCATTGGCCAATTCAAAAGTCATTTGTGAACGTAAAAATAAAGGCCCACTTAGAAAAATTCCTTTTGGAATTGAAACTTTACATCCAAAAGCTGAAGTTGAGGTGGAGCAAGAATCTATAGCTTTTTGTATTGCTTGTGTATTTAATGTGGTTCCATCACCCGTTGCTCCGAATGTTGTTATATCGACAATCTGTTTTGAAAAGGGAATTAATTATTAATTAATTATTATTTATTATTAGCAAAGATAAAATGTGGACTTGAATTCAGAATTTATCATGGGCTCATCCTCATATAAACTCGCATAATAAATAAAATAAACTCGCATAATAAAAACAAAACATTGGGAAGAATAATTTATGAATTTATATTTCTACTTTTTTTCTGCACGTTTTAATATTCGTTATACGATTTAAAAGCTAAAGTTTTAGTACTAATTTAATAAAAAAATTTGTTTATTTATTTCCAAACAACCTTTCCATAATTATCAGCAGTTTTAACAACAACTTGATTACTATTTCCAGATTCAGCCCCATTTGCATCTACAGCCCTAACAGTAAATGTGTATATTGTGTTTGGATTAAGTCCAGTAACTAAATATGTTGTAAAAAGTATTTTTGTATGGAAATTGTTTAGATCATTTTTATAAAAATTTTGAATATAAGGGCCAGACAAAGTATTTATCGCTGAATTTGCTTTGGCACTTCCAATTTTCTGTAAAGAATTTTCAAAATTAATTTGGTATATTACATGAAAAAATTGTTTTTTATTATAATGTTCGGACGTTATTTTGTTCCTCACCTGCATATTCCTTGACATTAAAATATTTTTTAATTTTAAACCCACGAACATTCGGGTCTAAGTCTGGTTATCCGCAATCGAAAAAGTTGAAAAAATTCAGGATAACCGAATTTTCCCTGAAACCGCTAACTTTACTTGGGAATTATAAGTATATCGTACTAAAGTTCATATCTCGCTATGGTTTTTCAATTAAAAAACCCATATTTAAAATATGGTTAAAACCCCATATTTCTTTACCTTTCCACCCATATAAACATTAAAATCAGCAATATTTTCATAATTATCAGGTTTATTCCAAGTTAGCCAAACACTTTTTTGATCATAAGCTAACGGAGGAACACATAATTGTTGTGGTATATTTGAATTTGTACCAAAATTTGGTTTAACATTTGAACACGAACATGGTGGTGTTATTGCTATAAATAAATATTTAAAAAAAAGTTCAAAAAATACTTTGACTCAAGGCAAAATTTGTGGTTTCCAAAAAAATTATTTTAATTAAAATTATTCTTTTTAATATTGCTAATAGGATATAATATTTCATTTTTTGAATAATTAATTTAAATTTTTATTGTAATATTATTTCTATAAATAATTATTTATTTATTTAAAAAATTGAAAATAATTATCAAAATTAGTTATTTTAAATTAAATTTAAATAGGGTTGTACCCCGAACGTTCGGGGGCGGGTATGTCGGGGTACGGGGTTTTCCAATTGTTTCGGGGCGGGGTTCGGGTCGGGGGAGCAAAATATGACCGGGGTTCGGGTCGGGGTACGGGGTTTTAGTGAAAAAATTTTTAGATAAAAAAATGCTCAAAAATAATCAGATCTCGGTATATTTTCGCTAATTTATTCAAAAATTAAGTAGGATTTGGAGAAATTAGAGGGGATTTGAAGGGATTAAAGTGTATAACTTGGGATATAAGTGGATATGGAGGGATTAAGCGGGATTTTTAGGGATTAAATGGTATATCTAGGGGTGCAAGGTGATCTGGAGTGATTTTTGTTGTTTCAAGGGATATCAGTGATTAATAAGAATATTGAAGTATTGCGGATAAGGGTATTTGGACGGATATCAGGAGATATCTTGGATTAATCCTTAAATCTCCCACGAAATCCTTGTTAATTCCGTTAAATTCACGTAATTCTTTCAAATCCATTTTAATCTAAACCTTATATCCCTTTAAATCCCTTTATAACTCCTTAATTCTTCGATATACTACAAATTCCTTTATATCTCTGATTCCCGTTAACAGGACCTCGATAGTTTTCCAACTGTTATGGTTGGGAACCCCTTACTGGTGATACAAGGGGTTTGAAGGATTAAGGGTCGTTCAAGGGATATCAGTTAAAAATAAAATTAATATTTTAAAATTAAAATTTAACTCGTTAATAATTTGTTTTTGTAAAGAAATATAAAAACAAAAGAGTTCTCCTTATATGGATCCAAACCCAATCCTATATTAATGGAAATATAGGTTAAAACCAACAACTAAGCCACTCAACCACAAGTCTCTTAATTAAGAATGAAAGAAAATTTTGATATTTCATTTATTTTTCTTTCAAAAATAATAAAGGCAAGGTAAATTGTGAGGAAATTTTTAAAATTTTTCTCTTAAAATTCTCACAAAAATGGCATTTTTTGGGTGTATAAAACCCCGATAACCCCGAAACTTTTATGGTCGGGGTACGGGGTTTTCGAAATGTTTCGGGGCGGGGTTCGGGTCGGGGAGAATCGTGAAAAAATCGTTCGGGAACGGGGTCGGGGTACGGGGTCGGGGTACAACTCTAAATTTAAATAAAAAATTTTTTGAACGAATTTTTTCTTTTTTTTTGTCAAAAAATATTCAACTAGAGTTTATTATTTAAATTAATTTAAATTATATAAAATTTTAATTTAAATTAAAATAAACTTTCTTTTATATTAAAAATAAAAACCGACAAAAAATTTTTTTATCAAGTTACTTCCTTTTTAGCTGTTTAAATAAATTTATTTAAAATTTTAACATTTTTTGAACTTTTAAATTAAATTAAAAATGTCTGAATTTTGCCAACAAGGAAATTTTAAAAGGATTTAAAATTTAACGGAAATATTCTTAAACATCATATGGTTTTTAAAGTTTTTTTAATGCTGATTAAATATTTAAAAATTCATTAAAAATTTTTAAACTATTTTTTAAACTATTAAACAAATTAAATATTTAATTTTTAATTTTTTATTAAATAAAATAATTAATCCAATAAAATATTCAAAATATTTTTGACAAAAAAATCTTACAAATTATGACTCACAAAAAAAGATTATTATTATTAGTGCATAAATAAATTCATGCAAAAAATTCCAGTGTCAGCCACAACATTAACCTAAAATGGAAGTTTAAAAATTAAAAATTTTTATTTAAATTATAATTCTTTTTAATATTTTCTGATTTAGAATTAAGAATTAAATTAATAATTTTAAAAATATAGAAAAATCAGTCATCCAGATTTGGGGCACATGGTAACAATTAATGCCTAATTTTTTAGTTAACACGTGTGCATCAAACCAGAATAACCAAAATTTCTGATTTTTTAAAAAAATTGGGGAATTATAGAGTTAATAATTTTTTCTTAAAATTCTTATAAATTAAATTATCTAAAAATATTTATATTTAATTTATAAATAAAAATAATTAAAATTTGATTTAAAAATATAATAGCAATTAATTTATATTAATATAAATTAAAATATCTTTTAAAGACTATTAAACGATTTAAATAATAACTAGGTGTTAATAAAAAAATATTATTTTTTGTTATTTTAAATGATCACTTTATTTTAAATGATCACTTTATTTTAATGGAAATATTTTATTTAAATATAAATGCTTTTAATAAACTTCCTGCATTTTTTACAATTTTTATTTCTCGATCATCTTTCCTTTTTTTTAATAATTCAAGAATTTCTAGAAAAAAACAAAAATTAACTGATCAGATTTAAAGATAAAAACTAAAAGAATTAAAAAAAGGAATTTTAAAAGCTTTTTTAAATAAAAAAAAGTTATTTAAAATATATTTTTTGTTTAAAGTTCAATATTAAAATAATAAAAAAATCTAAAATTTAAATTAATAAATAAATAAAATAATTTAAAAATGTTTTTGATTTAAAAATAAAATTAAAATAGTCGTCTTTGTCAAAAAATTAAACCTAAAAAACACTAAAAGATATGTATGTATCTAAAAATTTTTTTATTTATTTTAAAAATGGGTTATCCTGTGTTAACCTTAAGACTAGCATCAATCTGATTCTTAGAAAAAAATTAATTAAAACAATTTTTTTCAAAGAAATATTTTTTTAAACTTTATTTATTCATTTATTTAGATCACATATATATTTAGGTATTTATGAAATTTAAAAATAACAAAAAAAAGTTTTTTACTCGGGATCATATAAGAGGAATGAAATTTTAAAAAATTGTCCAAAAATAAAATATAAATTTCATTCCTTATTTTATTTCAAATTAATTTTCTGGGGTTCTTTTCTTAATTTTCTTTTAAATAAATTCAATAAAAATGAAGATCTGCGGCAATACAATTTCCATTTGTTGATCCATATCTACAAAAAAATATATTAAAAATAAAAAAAATCCTCAATTTAACCTAGAAATATTCTGGAAAGGACCACAACAATTAGTAGCACTTAAAGACGAAGAAAAAGACGAGGAATTAGCCAAAATACTTTCATTATTAAAATTATTATTTAAATTTTTATCAACAAATAAATGGCTAAGATAACAGGGAGGGGTAAATGCTGTGCTCATTAAAGAGATTAAAGCAGAAATTGTTGCTATTATGCCGGCTAATGAAGATAAAACTGAAAAATAAATTTTTTTGAGAGTTAAAACTCCTTTTATTTGTTAGTCTCTCACCAATAACAAATCCACAAATAAATAACATTCGTCTATCTGTACGTTGAATCATTCTATACAAAGTTTAGATTAAATTATAATTTTCTGAAAAATTACTCAGATAATGTTGGCGGTTTTTCATTCCCAAAATGTGCTGATTCATTCGCTTTTTTTTCACCGGCCGCCAAGAAAAGATAAAAAAGACAAGGAAAAATAACAGAGGTTAATGCTACTGTTGAACCACCAAAGAAGTCGAGTACAGGTCCAAAACTTGGAACTGATTCAGCTACAAAAACTATTGAAGCCATTACTCCCGTTCTAACAACAACTCTTTTCCAACAAAATTCTTAAAAATTTAGAAGGATTTTGGAATAAATAAGTAATATAAATTAAGTAATTATTTTCTTAAAATCCCGAATTACATTTTATCTAAGGCTTTAACCAAATATTCTTTTAGTTTTCAAACTTAAAATATTTAATAAACTAGTATATAAATATAGAAAAAATATTTTTAATGTTCTGATAATTATTCAATTTAAGGGTAAAAGATGCGTGAGACCCCAAACGAGGTTACCAATCTCATCCAAAAGAAAATATCTAATAAAATTAGGTAAAACTCTATTTTAATAAATAATATTGTAGCTAACCGTGGGGGACATCAAAAAGTTCCTCCACTTCTTGATTTAATGGATTAATAATTAAAGTTACTGTTAAAAGACCTGAAAAATAAAAAAAAAACAATTTAATTCAAAAATATAAAAAATATTAACAATGTGCAGTTATCATTAAATTAACTGCCTGTTGAATCCAAACTGTCTGAATTGAGTTAATAACAGAATCCCTTAAACTATTTCCATAGACTAAACCGGTAAGAGAAACAACACCAAAATTAAAAAATGACATTACTAAAAATTAAAATAAATTTTTTCAACTAAAAGAAGCAAACAAATAAATCCAAAAATTGCAGAACGATCAAAATGTGAAGGTCTTTTCATGTCATGCTGAATTGTTGGAAATGCTGAATGGCCCCCATAAGTAAATAACATAGTTCCCAAAGCAACGAGGTAATTAGATAATGAAAATTGAGGAAATTCTCTGACAGGGGAACAGGAACCGATATCAAGAAAAGCACCCAAACAAATCAAAACAACTTTTTTTTTAAAAAATAATATATTTTTTAAAGGACCCTAAAAATACTTGCAATTCCTGTACTTAACATTCCCCCAACAATAACTGGCCAAAAATCATTTGGTGATTTAAGTAATGTAACAGGTAATAAAACTAAAGCAACTACCAAAACTAATAAACAAGAACTAATATCAACATGAAAAAATGCTCGAAGAAAATCACGAATATTTTTGGCACTCAACAGTAAAAATACCTTTTAAACAAAAATTTATTTTTTAAATAAATTATTAAAAATTAATTATCTAGAGGGATGTGGGTTTTTTTGATAATTAACTAAATCAAAATTTTTTGTGAATTTTCAATTTCATATTCCCCCTAACCTGTTTTTTAAACAATTTTCAAAATTAATTTTTATAATACTTACAGTTGAAGCTCCAAATTGTGTAACATTAACACAAGTAGAAACAATTGTTCTTAATTTTTCTTTATTTTTAACAAAATTAAATTAATTTATACTTCATTAAAGGCCCAAGTGCTCTATAACCA